TAACCTTGGGAAAATCATCATGCATCTAACATTAAAATAACCCCAGCACTAAAGAATTAATTAAAATTTGTTACAGGTTTTCTAGTCCAAATGAGTGAAGTTATTGAAACATTTAATTATTTGTTTCAGATGAATAAACTATTGAAATGATGCTTAGTAGCTAAAAATACTTATTCCTTTTTAAGTTATATATATATTGTCTGTAATACCATGCTACTCTCTTTGTGGTTATTTTATGACCTTCTGTTTTCAAGAAAATCTACCATAGGCAGATAAAGAGCCAGGTGATCTATGCAACTCAGGATGTCCTTATTCCTTAGGCAAATAAAATTCTTACAAAATAACAACACAGAAAAACAATAGAAATACATCAAGTTTTGGAGTGAGTTTCAAACTTTCATTTACTCTTAATACCTTGATAATTACAAAATAAAGCACAACATGCAATTGAACCCTCAGTCATTTGGAACTTTGAGGTAATACATCTGTGTTAAGTTCTAAAGCATATACTTGATAAATGAATTCTTCCTTTTTCCACATGCTATTTTTACCTGGCTACTTGCTTGCTTGCTTGCTTTTTCTTTCTTTCTTTATTTTTTGCTCCTAAAATAGTGTCAGCCTCATGTATATCATGAAATGACCACCCACTTATGAATACTTCTATATATCTAAGATGGGGCAGGCTTTTGGATAATTGAAATTTGTTGGATTAGCCAAACATGTTTTTGTTATTCCTTTTTGCATCATTTCTCCATCCTTTAATTCCTCTTAACATTTTCTGATTCTTTCAGGGACACCATGTTTAAGATATCTTGTCTCTTGTGATTGTAGGCAGTCATGAATCTTACACTTAAAGCTGCTGCCACTTTATTAAAGGTAGGGAAAAAGAAAAAGAAAGAAAGAAAGAGAGAGAGAGAAAGAAAGAAAGGAAAGAAAGAAAGAAAAGAAAGAAAGAAAGAAAGAAAAAAAGAAAGAAAGAAAGAAAGAAAGAAAGAAAGAAAACAAACCCAGAACTGTCAGTATTTTCCTGTTTGGAGGACTTGGTATTTATGAAAAGTTGTGTTTGGATTAAAGCCTGTTTTCTCTTTACTTTTTCTTTTCTTTTCTCTTCTCTTCTCTTCTTTTCTTCCTTCCCTCCTTCTCCCTCCCTCCCTCCTTTGCTCCCTCCCTCCCTTCTTTCTCTTTCTTCCTTTCCTTTCCTTTAATATTACTGATGTGATAAGTGCCAAAGAAGAAGCTTGCTGTAATTTACTTTAGTAATGGATCATGTTAGTCATTGTACTATATAGAGTACCAAATTGGGTGGAATATAGTGTCAGTTTAAGGTATTGAGGACTCCTCTTTATGGGTAAAAGTCTCTACTTGTTTCAAAATAGATGAATTCTTCCTTTAGACATCACAGTGTTATAGTTCATTTACGTATTCAAATCAGAATAAGAGATTTGCCTTCTCATAATAATTTTACTCATTTCTGCTTGGATTATACTATTAACCTTGGATTTGGCAGGCAAGAAAAGTCACTGAAATCAGAGTCGAGATACCTGGGTTTGCAGTTTACTTCTGTCAGTTACCAGCTGTGTGATAATCAGGTCACTTCCTTGGGCTGCTTTTTCAGAGCTCTGAGGTGCAATAATTTCATATTGCTTGTAACACCTCTGTTTTTCTGGCTGGAAGTTGTTTAGTTCTTTAAAATTACCACAGGAATACATCAGTGATTACATTTGATAATAAGTGTACTTAATTTAAAGTTACTATTTTATATATTATAAATATATTCACTTTAAAAATAGCACTTTAGGGACACCTGGGTGGCTCAGTTGGTTAAGCGGCTGCCTTCGGCTCAGGTATGATTGCAGCGTCCTGGGATCGAGTCCCACGTCGGGATCCTTGCTCGGCAGGGAGCCTGCTTCTCCCTCTGCCTCTGCCTGCTGCTCTGTCTGCCTATGCTCTCTCTCTCTCTCTCTTTGACAAATAAATAAATAAAATCTTAAAAAAAATAGCACTTTAATAAGACATATAGATAGAAGAAATTTATAGAGAAATGTGACTACATCATTGTGTGATAGTATCACTTACTGGCATTATGCTCTGTGATACTAATAACAGTATGGATACTAAAAACTTCCAATAATGGAATCATACCAGAGGTTTAAAGGTTTAAAGTATTAATAAGAAATGCTCAGCGGGGAGCCTGCTTCCCCTCCCTCTCTCTGCCTACTTGTGATTGCTCTCTCTGTTAGGTAAATAAATAAAATCTTTAAAAAAAATTTAAAGAAATGGTAAATTATTGGGGGCACCTGAGTGGCTCAGTCAGTTAAGCAAGCTCAGGGTTGTGATTTCAGCTTAGGTCATGATCTCAGGGTTGTGAGATTGAGCCCCATGTCAAGCTACTTGCTGGGCATAGAGCTTTCTTAAGATTAAGATTTTCTCTCTGGGCACCTGGGTGGCTCAGTGGGTTAAGCCTCTGCCTTGGGCTCAGGTCATGATCTCAGGGTCCTGGGTTTTGAGCCCCACATCAGGCTCTCTCCTGGGCAGGGAGCCTGCTTCCCCCTTTCTCTCTCCCTGTCTTTCTGCCTACTTGTGATCTTTCTCTCTCTGTCAAATAAATTAATAAAATTAAAAAAAAAAAGTTTTTCTCTCTCCCTCTGCCCCTCCTTTCTCCTGTCTTTCTCTCTCCCTTCCCTCCCCCAATTATTTCATATCTTCAAAAGAATTGAAAACATGAACTTAGAGGATTCACATGTATTTCAAAAATTAATTCAATGATTAGGTGATTCAAAAGTTAGTAATAGTTTGCTGCTAGATAAAGTAGTTCAAAAATAAATATATATGTACTTTAAAAATTAATTCAATGGTTCTATAATTTTAAAAAACTAGCAATAGTTGACTTCTATGAAAAAAAAAAAGCCAACCCAACTACAAGTAGTAGTTTATTACTAAAGTAGAAAACTGAATTGCTACTTCATTACCTAAAGATGGGTTGAATGAAGAGAAATATGGAAATGTGTGAGGCTTCATGAGCATTCTTAGATGTTTGTAGAACTGAAAGGAGTCATTTCAATATTTTCCCTTTTTTTTTTTTTCATAAAGTTTTATTTATTTAAGTAACCTCTGCATCCAGCATGGGGCTCGAACTAATGACCGTGAGATCAAGAGTCACAGCCTCTTCCAACTGAGCCAGCTGGGTGCCCCCAATATTTTCCCTTTGGTAGTGGTTATTTGGATCAGCTCATTGAAATGCCCGTGTGCATAAATTATGCAAATTTAAAATAGATTACTGGAGAAGGGAATAATAATTTATCCATTTTGTCAGTTGTTTTATCATTTGCATTATCTAGTATAATTATTTATGAGTTTTAATCTAACCACTTATTTTATTAAAACAAATTTATTGAGCTTTTATCTAATACATATTGTTTTAAGATTAATTGGGTCTAGAAAGATGAGTATGACATGGTTCTTACCAGTTTTTACAGTGAATTGTTTTGGAGGACAGAAGTTGAAGTATAAAGGACAGGAATGTCATGGAAGGGGAGGATGAATATGTAAAGAGCTAGCTTCAAGGTTTTAGGTAGAACTTGGGTAAGTGTTGTCAATATTAAGGGCTGTTCTACACTGATGTTCTCAGACTTTAATATATGTATAATTTACTTGCAGATCTTGTTAAAAGGCAGATTCTGATTCAGTATGGTGAAGTGAGCATGAGCTTCGACATTTCTGACAAGCTCCCAGGGCATGCCAGTGCTTAGGAGCTATGTTGGTATTTTGAGGAGCAAGGCTCAGTGCTGTTTTTTAGAAGTAAGAATAGACATATATAGGGCCTGCATTTAAAGCCTTTTCCTGGTATAGCCTTACTTTTTCCAACTTTTCCATAATGTAATTAGAACATACTGACTAGCAATACAAATGTAAATGAATATGTTGTTTATAAAATTACTTCTTTTGAATGACTAATTTAGTTAACTGTTGGTTATCTTTGGCCAGGCTAAACAGTATGCAATTAGCCATGATATTAAATAACAAAGGAGTCAGTATTTTGAAGAATTGAGATGACAGTAATTTAAGAAAACATCAGGGTTCTTATACTGGCTATCAGTTCTGTTTAGGATTATTTGGTACCTATTCTAATTTGGGAGTGTTCCTCGATATTAGCAGACAAAAGAATTTGTGGGAATGGTGCCTTCTTTCCCTTTCAGTCTCTAAAGAACTATGGTCTGCACATGGGGCTTATAAATCTACAAGAGGCTGTGCAATGTGGGTAGAGATTTTGAACATATTGGATGCAATACTATTATTGGAATTACTTTTAACATTTAGATGTCATCATTCTAATGGTAAATGTGTTCTGAAATATAGGATATAAAATTTCAACTAATTAAGTTTAAAATAAGTCATTTATACCATGTTTTAGTTAGTTTTTCTTTTTCTTTTTTTTTAATTTTTTAAATTTTTTTCAGTAAGCTCCATTCTTGGCATGGAACCCGAGTTTTAGTTAGTTTTATTTCATCTAGGATTTGGGGACATCTGAGATCTTTTACTCCCACTTTTTGATGGCAGTTAAAAATTGATTGGTTATGTTATACAAACATGTATGTACTCTGCACACACACACAGGAGTATTAGAAGTAGTATGAGCCCAGGTTTAGCATTTCGGCTATAAAAGTCATGTAAGTTCTGAAGGTTTAAATGCTCTGGATGAATCATAGTTGTGTGACATGTGCGAAGTATCGAGAAGTCATTCCAGTTGATTTTGAAGAATTTATTTTTCTTATCAGATAGTTGTGTAATTTAAAAGTAAAGTGCTTATAAAGTGCATTTAATTTGTCATGTTTTTATCTCTTGTGACATAAATTTTAACAGTGCACTAGAGCAATACAGTATTAATTAGAAATACTAATTTTCCAAGTGCTTAACTTAAGCAGTAACATTTAACAGAGAATATTTATTTTTATTATTAAATTAAACATTAGAAATTTTTGTGGATTTTTTTTTTTCCTTAGAGAACCAGAGGACGAAAGCGAAGCTTCATTCCTGAGGAAGAAAAACATGAGGTTGGAATAAGTTAAGCATTTTTTACACAATCTAAACTTTGAGAAACTTTCTTCTTAAATGATTTCTTTTTCCCCCATATCCTGATTTTTATGTTTTGTTTTGTTTTCCCTTGTATGGCAGGAAAGAATTCCTAGAGAGAGAAGGCAGAGGCAGTCTGTGTTACAAAAGAAGCCTAAGGCTGAAGATTTACGAACTGAATGTGCAACTTGCAAGGGAACTGGAGACAATGAAAATCTTGTCAGGTAAATTGGATGCTGAGACTTTGTCTTTAGGGGGTTAAAGTTCCATCTTCATATTTTCTCATCACAGATATAATGGGGAAAAAAATCACAATATAGGACCTTTCTTAAAATCTTATTTAGTGGAAATAGTAGTTCAGAAACAGATTTCATGTGCATGGCTATTTTCTGGCTTTAGGTGTAATTAAGAGTGATAATCTGGATTTTGAACACAAGAAACACTTTTCTCTTGATAAGAGCAGTTGGTAATGCTCTGTATAGAGGGCAAAAAAATAATTTGGTCTAAACACCTTGTATGAAGATTATTTCATAAAACAATAAAATTACTAAGTTGTTACATATTATAAAAGTTGAAGTTTATTAGTGATAATGATAAGACAGATTCTTTTTCAATGACAAGAGCTTCATTAGCACTTCCTTACCACTTATCAAAACGAATGTGTTAAATGCTTCTCTCATGAAATAAAGAAAGGTGAAAAGATGGCCTAGATAGATTTTGCTTTTTTATTTTGTTTTCTTCTTTGTTTCTTTGTTTTGCTTTGGTACCTTTCTTTTTTTTTTTTTTTTTTTTTATGAGACATAATGCTAATCAGGAATCTCAGCTGATGTTGCACAGTGGCTATTCCTGAGGGTCCAGAGACTGCTAATTTTAGCCTTTGCCTCTTTTGCTGAGATGAAGAAATTACTCAAAGCCTTGGGTGAGATGAAGGAGTGGGTAAAGTGGGGTGAGCAAAAGGAGATCTAATTTAAAAGTAGTATCATTCTTTCAAAGGACAGTGACACAAAGAGTCTTTTTGTGTCTTAAGGAAACAATTTCTGATTTCTTTAAAAAATTGTCTTTTGATGAAGCCCTGTGAAATTAACTGAGGGCACAGAAATTAAATGTTTCAAAAGTGAGTTTTTAAACCATATATTAGTACTGTTAAATGATGTTAAATATTTGCTTCCAAAATGATGTCATTTGTCATTAAAAATCTAATTTCTATTTGTTTAAATTCCTTAAATAAAAGCATGCAGTTTTAAATTTAAATTTTAGAGTTTTTTAATACTATCATTAAAGAAAATGAGAAAATAAATATTCCAGTGAAGAAATTAAAAGTGCTTCCTTAAAGTTAAGAAGGTCTATCATGTTTTGTCAGTGTTCTCAGAAGTAGTACATATAGAATGTCATGAGGGCTCTCCTGGAAATGAAACTCACTTAAATTTAGGTTAGAGTAGTTCCTGTATTCGAAGATACACATGAATAATTCTGACCATACTATAATTTTCTTTATGTAAAAAAAAAAGAAATCCCAACCATAAGCATAACATGATAGAATGCATAAGACAATAAAACTAAATAAAAGAAAAAAACCCATTAAAACAGTCTTATATAATGAAAAAAATTCAATCTAAACGAAATCCCCTTGGGGTTGAGGGTTGCATCGTGGGACATGATCAATTTGAAACTAGTTAAAAACTTAGAGAACTGGTTATTTTCTCTTTAGTTATTTGAAACTATGTAAATATCAATCCTCTTATTTATTTTTTCAGGATAGGAAGCTGATTCATGACATTTTTGCTATAGGACCTATACATTTTTACCAGGTTTCTATTTATTTTATTTGCTTGGTCATATATTTGAAAGAACCTCAGACATAAGTTCAATTTTAATTTTAAAAACCACTTTATAACAAGAGCATCTCCAACACATCATATTTTAGTTGTCATTTAAAAAAGTAGATACAATCTTTCTTCGATTCTTGGTGAGATTTTAAAAATAATATTGGCCTTTCCTATCATTTAATTAATTTCTGTCATAAAATTTCCATTCCTAATTGCATTATTATAACATGCCAGTGTCTGGGATTTTGTGGATAGTCTTCTGGAAGGTAAAGATATTTTTGTTACTCTAGAAATGATGAATATACAAAGTTTTCCTTGGTTTTGCCTTGTTAAGAAGATAACATCACAGATTTTCTGCAAAGGTTTTAAAGAGGTAATGAAGAGGGAATTAAATGTTTTTATAAATATTATATGTTAATGTTTTTGAGGATAAAATAAGCTGGACATAAAGCAGTGCCATAAAATGTTTTATGGTTATAATGTGACTCTTCTGTTAAAAACAAAGTACATATTCAATATAAGCACGATTGCTCGTGGGTTAAAGAAGAATTTTTTTTTTTTAATGTAGAATTTCATGTGTTTAAAAGGTAATCTTATAAGTTAATATCAGCCATTTCCCCTAACATCTCTTTTATTTTGTAATTGGCACCATTATTGTTTCCAAATCACCCCACCCCACAAAATTCTGCACTTTTATGATTGCATCTTAAGTATTATGTACACATGCTATTTTTTAACTTTTCATTTTAAGACATTTTAAATTAGACTTTATTTTTCCTAAAGATATATTTCAGTGCTTAGTCAGAGACACATTTATACTTATTATGTATGTCTGTTAGGTTTTATTATAAAATGAAACTTCTTGGGTGGTAATTTAATTACTATTTTACTGAATATACTGTATTTATTTTCTTAAGTTCCTTTGAACTGATAGATGTGACTCAGGTTTAGCAGCTTTGATTTTGAAACCACACTTCTCTATGTAATTCAGGCTATATAAAAAATTCCTTCTTAATTATTTTCCTGGCTTCTTCCTTTATTTGTATATGTGTATATGTGAATTTACATGTGTAATTTTTTAATATCATTGGGAAATTGAGTTCACTTAATCCGTTAACTGTGATACTAGGTTCCAACTATTATTTTTGGTTTGTGTCTAAGTTTTTCTCAGGTCTTTTGCAAGTAATTTAGCATTTCTGTGTCTCAGTTTTTCCCTTTATTGTACATGATCAAAATTATACTCTGTTCCATTAGGGACTTAAATGAGCAATAAGTATTTTTCCATATAAAATAGTAGGGTAGTGGTAGTAGTATTGTTTAGTAATACAAAGGACACATATATGAGGGTTCTGAAATAAGGGTTCCAATTGGTAAATATGTTTTAGTAATAATACATGCTTATTTTTGCCTTTCAGAGAATGTGCATGCCTTGTTTTTGTTGAGTTTGTTGAGACATGTTCCTTAAAATGATTAGACTCCACTATTTTCACTAGACATGGGAAATCTGACAGTGATCAAGGTCCTAAAGAGGAAGATGGTTTACAGTATCTTACACATTTTTTAAAAACAGTGCTTCCATTTTGCCATCTGCTTTTAAAATTTAAATCAAAATTGTGTGGGAAATTTCCAATTAAAAATGTGTATTTCTTAATGCTAAAGGCCAGATTGAAACTCTGTTTTGGAATTGTGAAGTCTTTTTAGGTATTTATTTCTCTGTGATGGATGTTCTTTTTTTGAGATAGTTATGGCCATGTAGTGATACATTATTTATTGGTTTTTGTTTCCACAGTTCCTGGAATAATTAATACTCAGTACGTGCTTGGTAAATGAATGACTTCTTCATATAAATAATGACTGATCATTCTTTGCTGAATTAATAAAGAAAACTTTTACTGTTATAATTTATTCCTAGAACAAATTGGTCATTAAATACAAGTATTTGATGAAGTTGTTTAGAAGGCTTAATAAAGGAAAATTGCTTTTGTGTCACTAAAAAAAGGGGGATGAATTTTTTCTGTGTATTAGGTAAGGAAATAGGCACTACAGATCTGAGATTAGTTAGTTGATACATCAGTGTAACAAACAGAACTAAAGTGATCCCTCTCCTTAGGAAATCATATTTGATTTGCAAAAGATAGATTTTTAGATGTCGGTATGCCTTTCTTCTAAGTCTTTATCAAGCTATCAGATTTAGAATAAGACCAACTTTTAGACCTTAGATTTTAGCTTAACTGTGTACATCTTAATATTTAATGGGAGATAGGAGAGAGAAAAAAGGTTTCCTAAAACTAAAAACCCTGGAATCTATTTGTTTCCATGAATAGTATCTTTAATTTTATTTTGTATTGTGGCCATTACTCAAAAGCTTTGAGTGTAGGAAACGATCTATGAAGCTGTTTTACTTTTATAGCTGAGTCCACACTATTAAATGCTTACTATATTCTCCTCCTTATTTGAGCATATGGCAAATTATATAGATATTGAACCATAAGATTAGAATGTTTGGTCTCTCAACAATATCGTTATTACTTTTACTTATTTCACATTTTCAATATCTGGCGTCTGAGTGCTTCCCTCCTAACTAGATTTGATTGTATTATAACCTGTTAGGAGCACCTGCAAAAATTCATATTTATCAGAATTTTATTTCAAATATTAGTCTCTGATTATTCAGGTTTTTTTTTTTTCCTTAAATTACCCATTTTGTTCTAACATGTATTGGAGTCTTACTAGATTACCTGTGTCATAGTTGAACGGTTGTTTTCTTGCAAAGGTTTTATTAGACTAGAGGGTAAAGCTAAGATTAGTTATAACTTGTTAACTATGCTCATAGAACATCAGATCACTAAAAATGGATTGTTTTAAATTACGTTAAAAAATGAGGGGTGCCCCGATGGCTGATCATCTGACTTTTGGTTTCGGCTTAGGTCCTGATCTCATGGTTCATGAGATTGAGCCCTGTGTCGTGCTGGTTGAGTTTCTCTCTCCCTCTCCCCCTGCTCCTTGCCCCCCAGCCCCCGCAATGCACTCTCTCTAAAATAAATAAATAAATCTTTAAAAAAATACTTAAAAAATGAAACCTAATATTATTTTTTAAAAACAGTCAAAATTGCAGTTGGTAGATTTCTTAAAACAAATAGAATGAGTTTTTTGTTTTGATTATGCACTTGTTAGTTTACTGTTTCTTGTGCAGTTTATCACATAATAATCATTCTTAATGATAAAATTTGCATACTTATGTAGGAATATAATGATTGTAAGTGGTGGTGTTTGGATTATTTGGATAATTATAAATTAAAACCTAGAAATAACTACAAGTTTTAAAATGATTTATGTCTTCTAATAACTTTCAAATGTATGAAAACCAGACATTTCTCTGTACAAAGACATTTCTGGAC